CACTTAATGTATATTATATAATATATAGTTATGTTACAAAAACAACTGTCATATTTACAAGATAATATTAAATTAGTTATTATAATATATTATGATTATAATATGTATGATCATATTCAGTATTTACAACTTGGCTAGTTCTATTTGTATTATTAATAGCTTCTATAATAGACACCTTTTCTTTTTCAGTTGGTTTTGACAGTCTACCACTGGTTAATTTTCGTTTCTTTCTTGTTGAATTAAAACTGTTGAAATATACAATTAATATGTAGTACATGTAGTCAGCCTTGACACGTGTGTACAATATAGTAACTAGTTATGTACGAGCATAAGACTCACTCTCTTCACGGATGTAACATGACCTCGGTCTTGCATATATATAGGGCCTTTGATGTATGTAATATTCACTTGCACAGGCGTCGTTGTACAGAGCGTATACGATGTGTGTGTACTGTCACAGTTTAATTGTCCAGTTGTACGTTATTATATAGTATACTTATACATAATCATATTGTCGTGTTATTACTTATTATGTTAATGCTAACATCATTAGTCCGTCAAGCTTCACTTTCAGCAGGTTATGGTCCCAGTCAATAACCAAGACATACAGTCTAGTGGATTCGTGACCGAAGTATTTTTATATTTGTATTAACGCAGAAAACTACAACCAGTTGGAGATATCCTGGATTTCGGAAAACGGCGGAACAGTGTACATAGGTAAAGTTTTGTTATAAATTGTTATACAGGAAAGTATACGGGAAACCATCGGTCATGGAAGACACGGTGAAGATAACAAAATTATGTGCGGAAAACTGGTCGTTATGGAAATTCCAGATGAAGGTCATTCTAAATGCCTTGGAAATAGGTGATATAGTTTCAAGTGAATGGACGAAACCAGTTGTACCTATAAAAAAGTTGGCAACAGATTCCGACGAGGAAGCCAAAGCACGTTTTCAAAGGCATACAAGCGCTTGGATAAAAGCGGACGGTAAATGTCAAAAAATAATAGTTACCTCAGTGGACGATGGTGCATTACAATATTTGATTAACTGTGAGACTGCATTGGAAATGTGGGAGAAACTGCTGAGTATTTACGAGCAGAAGTCTGAGGCAAGTTTACATTTGCTTCAACAACAATTTTTCAGTTATTCAAAGGAGTCGACAGATGATAATATGTCGACGCATATTTCTAAATTGGTTAATTTAGGAAGGAAACTGAGAGTAGCGGGTGAACCAGTTACGGATAACATGGTTATGACAAAAATACTAATGACATTACCAAAAGAATATAATCATTTTTACAGTGCTTGAGATTCAGTCCCAACGGGAAGTAAGAATATAAATAATTTGACTAATCGATTGTTGATTGAAGAATCACGGGTTATCCAGATCAAAGGTAAAGTTGGTGAACAAGAGAAATCGAGTGCATTTCCGGCCAAATTTCAAAACAGATCTGTTGGAAGAAACGGCAGTCGTAATTATGGAAAAGGTAAAAATCAATTTACTAATAAAAGTAATGTTAAGTGTTATTACTGTGGTAAACTAGGTCATTATAAGAGAGACTGTAGAAATTGTCTACATAGTGTACACGGTGGTAAAACCGGTACTATAGGTGCGAACTTGAACGCATTCGTAAGCGAGTCAAGAATAAATAATATAGCAACAGATGCGTGGGTACTAGACTCGGGCGCTTCAGATCATATGAGCGCAAATCGAGAGTGGTTTTCAAGTTATGAACCACTGGACAACACTCAACAAATCACTATAGGTGATGGAAAAAATCTGTATGCAGCAGGTAGAGGTAATATTAATATATTATCATACGTAAACGGTAATTGGAATAAAAATTACATGGCAAACGTGTTGCACGTGCCGGGACTAAAATTTAATTTATTTTCGTGCGGTGCCGCGATGGATAAAGGATTAGTAATGACGTCAGATTGTAAGAAGTGTATATTAACTAAACAGGGGAAACCCGTATGCTCAGGTAAGAGATGTGGAAGGTTGTTTGAGTTAAACATCAAGGTCGAAGTACCGACAAACGGGTACGCGACTGTAGCTGTGGAAAACAGGTTGTCTGTTTGGCACGAGCGCATGGCACATCAGAATTTACAGTACGTAAAAAGTTGTTTGGCGAAACACGAAATAGTATGTTCGGCCAAGGACGACGAATTCATGTGCAGCAGTTGTATAATAGGTAAACAAAGTCGTAAATCATTTAGTAAAAGTAATACGGAGTATCACAATTTCGGTGATTTTATTCATGCAGATCTATGTGGACCAATGGAGGTAAGCTCTATAGGCGGTTCAAAATACTTCTTGTTATTCAAAGACGACTACTCGCATTATAGAACGGTATATTTTATTAAAAATAAATATGATGTTCAAAATATTTTTGAGACGTTCATAAAAAGTGTTGAAACAGAAACAGGTTCTAAGGTCAAAATATTACGAACGGATAATGGATTAGAATTCGTAAATAAAGAAATTACGGGTATTTTACAAAAACACGGTATTCGACATCAGTTAACAGTTCCCTACACACCACAGCAAAATGGAAAAGTGGAACGGGAAAATCGTACAATAGTAGAGTCAGCGAGGACAATGATTTGTGCGAAAAATTTGGATGTATCACTTTGGGCGGAGGCGGTAAACACGTCTGTTTACACACTTAATCGAGCAGGAACCAGTTCAGTTAAAAATAACTCACCATACGAGTTATATTATAAGGTAATGCCAGACATTAAACACTTACGAGTTTTTGGTACTGTCGTATATACACACATACCAAAACAAAAACGTAAAAAGTGGGACCCTAAAAGTGAAAAAGGAATATTTTTTGGCTATTCGGATAATACCAAAGGTTATCGTGTGTATTATTCAAAAACAAATAAAATTTCAATGTCTAGAGATATTATATTCGAAAACGAAGGTAATAAATTAGAAAATATAATTGCAGACAAATTAGAATTCACAGATACTCAGACTCAAATCGAGGACGATCCGGTCAAGGTCGAATTGACGACGGTCGACAACAGGAGTGGCATGGTGCTACGTGATCAGAATACGTTAAAAGCGCCGATCAGGTATAATGTGTCGTCGTTCGTCGCCAATCTCGTTGAACCACTAAATCGTGATGACGCGATAGCTGGCCCACAGAAAAACGAGTGGGAGCACGCTATGAGTGATGAAATTACGTCACTATACAAAAACAACACTTGGTCACTAGTTAATTTGCCTCAGGGCAAGGTTGCATTACGTAACGCATGGGTTTTCAAGACCAAATATAAAAGTGGCGGTAATATCGATAAGTTTAAGGCCAGATTGGTCATTAAAGGTTGTTCACAGAAATACGGTATAGATTACCATGAAACATTTTCGCCAGTGGTCAGATACGAATCAATTAGGGCGATATTCGCAGTAGCAGCTGTGGAAAAGTTAATATTACGACAATTCGACATCAAGACAGCATTTCTGTACGGAGAACTACAGGAAGAAATTTACATGGTACAACCACCAGGATACGAAGATGGATCGAATAAAGTATGTAAGCTTCAGCGTAGTTTATATGGCTTAAAACAAAGTCCAAGATGTTGGAATATACGCTTTAAGAATTTTTTGAATGCATTTGGTTTACAATGTACCGAAGCGGATGCATGTGTATTCAATGCATATAATAGTAGAATTATTCTGGCAATATTTGTAGACGATGGCTTAATCGCTGCAGACAATGAAGAAATAATAAATAAACTTTTAACAAACTTGGAGAAAGAATTTGAGGTTAAAAAAGGAAACTTAGATTATTTCCTAGGTATGCAAGTAAATATAATAAAAAATGGTTCATTATTTGTGCATCAGACAAATTATGCATGTAGCATAATTAATAAATTTAATATGCTGGACGCCAAAGGAACTTTCAATACCAATAGACAAATCACATACACTTGAACAAAAAGAAGATACGGAAATATTGAATGAAGATAGGTATTCCTTATAGGCAGGCACTAGGTAGCTTACTGTTCTTATCACAGGTAACAAGACCAGATATAACATATGCAGGAAACTTTGCTAGTCGTTACTTAGCAAAACCAACTAAAGCTCATTGGAACTTGGTAAAACGGATTATACGATATATCAAGCGAACATTTAATTATGGCTTGTACTTTAATAACAAAACAAAATTGTCATTAGAAATATTTAGCGATGCAGATTACGCAGGTGACATTCAGACACGACGTTCAACGTCAGGATTTCTATTCAGGTACGGGTCAAGCATAATTTCATGGACATCGCAGAGACAACATAGTGTGTCATTGTCATCGACAGAGGCTGAATATATTTCGGCCAGTGAAGCTGTCAAAGGGATCTTGTGGTTTACACAGTTGATAACAAGCTTATCGACAACAGGTGCAAACAACCAGTATTATTTATAGATAATCAGAGTGCTATACGTTTAGTTAAAAATCCGGAGTTTCATAAACGGACAAAACACATAGACGTACGGTACCACTTCATACGGGAGAAATACGAAGAGGGACAATTCCAACTACAGTACATTGGAACAGAGGACGAGATTGCGGACATTCTAACCAAGCCTTTGGTTAAGGAACGATTCGAGAAGTTGCGGTCAGCCATAGGAGTGACTACAATTAAAGAGATTATTAATTGAGGGAGGGTGTTGAAATATACAATTAATATGTAGTACATGTAGTCAGCCTTGACACGTGTGTACAATATAGTAACTAGTTATGTACGAGCATAAGACTCACTCTCTTCACGGATGTAACATGACCTCGGTCGTGCATATATATAGGGCCTTTGATGTATGTAATATTCACTTACACAGGCGTCGTTGTACAGAGCGTATACGATGTGTGTGTACTGTCACAGTTTAATTGTCCAGTTGTACGTTATTATATATTATACTTATACATAATCATATTGTAGTGTTATTACTTATTATATAAATGCTAACATCATTAGTCCGTCAAGCTTCACTTTCAACAAAAACGTTGTTGATCTATATTTCTGTGACTTGGCATGTCAGGTAATTCTGAGAAATGGGGCCCAGATGAGTTTGAGTTTTCAGACACATTTTTATTTGATTGTAAAATCTGAGTAGCTTCTTCTATTTTTTTACATGCTTTAAGTTTGCCTTCATCTATAGCAGAACCAGCAATTCCTAATGCAGCATTAAGTAAAGCTGTTAATTGACTAGAAGCTGACACAGCATCTCTTAGATGAGTTGGTTGTTCCTGTGATCCCATTACAACACTGTTATTATGACTTTCAAAGGCTGAGGTTGTTACTTCTTCATTAGTAGTTAAACAAGTTTGTTTTTTATCAGATATGCGTACACAAGCATGAACATGTTTGCAAAAGTTCCCCTTAATTTTAAAATCGATGCATGTACATGTGTAATAATGAATACATATTTTACATTCAGGGCATGACAAAGGACAGCCCATACAACTTCTATGGTCATTAATCGACACAGAATATAATGTTGGCCCAGAAGATGACTGTACAAGCCATATTTTCTGGTCAATTATTTTTATTTTGCTGTCCTCAATTTTGTTACTTCGATGATGACTGTGGGCAATTTGCTCCATTCGGAATGTAGGCTTATTTTTTGCCATGCGAATGATTCGTTCAAACATCATGTCTCTAGAAAAGCGCATTAGAAAGCTAATACATTTATCGACTCGCCTGTTCTGGTTTCCATGCATGTAGCAATATTTAAGTTTTTTGTGCATGGCTTCTAAAAACATATTAGTATTCAAGGCGAGATCACTTCGATAGCAAAATGCCCACTGCTCAGGTCGATGTGCATGGTGTTTTTCAAAGTAAGCACCAAAATTATGAGTGTCAATATCATCGTTACACATTGCCAGAAAACTTTCTAAAGACTCATGAAATTGTTCAACATCCAAAATTTCCATGAGTGTGCGGCAAGCTTTATAATATACTTCAGACTGCTTCATTGGGTCTGGTATTTTATTGAAGTTGTTTCTCCAGCTTCTATCAATATGCCAGTTGCAAATTAAATGGTGTTGAGGCTTGCACATTATCTTTGTCCAGGAGTTTATATATGTTGGAGCATCATCAGACATCAATATTTTGGCAGGAATAAGACCCATTTTTCCCTTTACAGATTTAAAAAACTGAGAAATAGCTACAGAATCAATCCTGTTGCTGATACAGAAAGCCACTGGATATCCAGCTCCAAATTCATCAATGGTAAGCATTGTTGTGAGCTGGAAGTCATGTTCAGTTGTCCCATGAGTGCTGTCTATGCAAACTTTGTCAATAGCATATTTTGATAATACATCTTGCTGATATTTTGTCATTAATACAATCATAAAATCATCTTTTAAGAGATCATCGTTTTTTTCGCATCCTTGCATTTTAAAATATAAAACATGTGAGTCCTCTCCGAGTGCCATCTGTTGAACCCACATCTTAGTGCTGAATGCATCATTCTTATGTACTACATCCCTATCCAATTCATAGTCTCTAACAATATTATATAAATCTCTTTTATCTACAATATGCAGGTGGTGAATATTCTCATTCGACACTACTGATTCACGGATGTCATCTAGGATTCGATCAAAAGTCACTCCAAATTTTATTTTGCCAGCCAGTTCATCACGTTCCTCTTTAGTCAAATGTAAAAATTTAATTGACTTTTAATGGCCCACATGTGTCTTGCAATAATCTACTGTAATGCGGCCTTCAATATTAGTTGCGACTATTCGAGCAGGACATCTTGAACCAATTTTACTGGAATGTGACCATTTCAGTCTTTTTCCCGTGCATGTTAACCGGGATGATCCTGATCTATGACATCCATAGTATGATCTATTTCCATTAACTCGATGAATGGTAAAAAAGCAAGATTTTCTTTTTCAATGACACTTTTCCATTTTTTAAATTCTGAATCATAAAAAAAATATACATATATAATGTTTATTATATATAGGTACATGGATAACTATCATTTCAATAAGAAAAATGAAAATATTTACCGTCAACAGATTCAAAGACCTTAGACACAACCTCCAAGTGTACATCATGGTCTATTTCAATGTGCTCGTGAAGCTTTGATGTAGCATTAAATGTTGACTCACATAAAGGACATTTCAACGACGCAAGGCTTTTATAATCATTTTCAGCCGGATGAACTTGGCGCATATGTTTGATTAAATTGCTTTTATTGCTAAATTTAACATCACATAGCTTGCAACACTCCTTCAATGAATTGTCCCTTTGATTGCGTTCAGTTCGAATATGCTGGTTAAGAGACTTTAGGTCCAGAAATGTTTTATTGCACCTAAAGAATATAATTAATGTGAAAAAAGAAAGAGCATTCAATTTTTATGGGTCCTGATCAACTACAGTGATTTAAGGTAACACCACCAGTAAGTATTCTACTCAATGTTCGAGATAGTTCCCTAGTTTTTTATTAATAACTTACTCTGAACAAGTTCCAGGTGTTATGTATACCGTCAAAATGTCTGCGTAACGTTGAATGTTGTGGATCTAGCGAAATTGTTGTTACATTTTTGACAAAATTTTTCAACATTTTGTTTTGACAATACAAATATACATAAAATAACAAAAAATACCATAAAAAATCAATAAATTCAAAACACAAATTGTTAGCTAATTGAGTTCATATTTGCAAAATACCACCACCACTAAGTATTCTACTCAATGTTCGAGAAATCGAGATAGTTCACTAGTTTTTTATTCATAACTTACTCTGAACAAGTTCCAGGTATTTTATGTATATCGTTGATATGTCTGCGTAACGTTGTGGATCTAGCAACATTTTTGTTACATATAGGCAACAGTTTTCACCCTTTTGATTAGTTTTTTTATCCATATTGCAAAATAAAACGTTAAAAATTATATAAAAAAGTATTTTTCGATTTTTTTTAATTTTTTTAATTATTTTATGATATGGATAAGACTATATGGGAGGCGTTATCCAAAAATGATAAGAGCATCAACCGAAAAATATGTTATAGTGATAACGAAGAATTGATAATAATGTGCATGGATCAGGGTGGTTTTGATCCGCTCGTCTATTAACTTTACAATTATACAGGGGTCAATAACACACATAGTTGGAAAACCAATAAATTGCTTTGCTCCACTCAAAATATAAATACAGCAGTATTGAAAGGAAATTACATTAAACTTTATATAATTTCATTAAAATAATAACAGATTAACAATTTTAACAAATTTTTCAATAGTCAAAATCAAACAAGAAAATAAATATTTTATAGCATCCTGCTCTAAAAAAAAAAATGACAATAGTACAAAACTAATGAAAAAATAAATATTTTTTAGCCTCCTGCTTTTAAAAAAAAAAAGTATAATAATACCAAAATATAAAATACGAATATGCATGCAAACTCAACAATTAACAATTGTCTTACCAAGTGGATTTAACACAAATAACAAATAAAATAAAAATTGAAAAAAAAAAATGTTAACTTTGGTAAATAAAAATATTACTATACTAATTAGCAAATAGTAGTAATTAATTTCTAACATATAAAACAAATAACAAGATACTAACAAAAATAAAAAATAGTAGTTACATAGTTAAGCTGACCAGTTGTGTTGACTAGTAAATTATAATAGAAACTATTTATCTTTGTATATATTTTGATTGTGGAGATCTAAATGAGACTGCGTAACTTTAAACTCTACACAAGATATTTCTTTATCCTGGAAAGAAGATCTAATAACTGTAACAGCATTTAAAGTATTATCAGCTAATTTGTTTCTTTTCTTGGTCTTGACATCATTCATTACTGAAAAAATACGCTCTGCTTCAGCATTACTATGAGGTAAAGTTAATACGAGACTGGCTAATTTTGATGAATTGTAAAATTTGAAATTGTCATTGGTAAAGTCTTTGGCTTGTCCTATATCATACCACATTTTACTAATACTGAGTTGTTTCATCTTTAAGCACTCATTGTTACTAAAAAAATAAGGCAATGTTCGCCATTCTTCTAAAGCCTTGTTACAATCGAAACAATTTTTAAATGTACTTAGAAGATGATGTAAAGTTTCAAATCCTTCTCTGTTTGTAGCATTTAGAGCAACTTCATAATCCAAAAATCGCATTTCTTTAAATAATGCGTTATTAAAAGGTAGTCTCGAACTTATTTCTTCTGCAGCTTTGATGTAAAAATTTAAAAATTTATTTTTGAATTCAGTAACTAATTGACGTGGTAAAGTTTTTAAAATTGTTTCACACTCAGTACCAACATAAATTTCGGATTCAGGGAGCAAATTATTAGGATCTTTAAAGTTTAAATTACATATATCATCTGTTAATAAAGCTGGTTTTATAAAATTTTGACTTATAGATTTTAAGAGTCTAATAGAATTAGTATGTAGTTGGTGAATAATGGTTTTTCTTGTTTGAAATAAAGCGTTAAATGAATTGAAATAGTCTAATGAATGTTTGAGAAAAAAAAATAAGCTTTAACCACCGCATTATTTAGAGTATCCAAAATTTCTTCAGCACTTTTCAAGTGATCTTCTACAACAGCAAGTCTGAAGTATTGAGTAAGACCATCCCAAAAATCTATCATTCTCATGACATACTGGTGAAGTGCTAACCATCTTGTTTCAGCCAGTTTTAAGATTTTCTTCTTATGGCCATCGAAAAATTCTTGAATTTCTACTAATATGGCAGTTCTTTTTGCGCTACCAGAGATTTATGTTGAAACGTTTCTGATTAGATCTTCTGGTGACCGAGGTAACTGCTGTGCTGCCTTACTGGCAGCGAGGGCCTGCGGTTGGCAAATACACTGCATTAAAATTAAATCAGGATTATCGCGTTTCAAGTGCGAAAAAAAGAATTATGCTTCCCTACCATAACGTTTGCACCATCACTAGCTACACCTATGAGATGAGACAAGGAAATATTTTTGGACGCAAAACATTGTTTAAATTCTTCATATAATTTAGAAGCACTGCAGTCAGTTGCATCAACTGGTAATAGTTCCAATAATCTCGTATGAACCACTCCACTATCTGGTTGTACATACCTTACCAAAATACAAAGAAATTTGTGCATACTGATGTCATTACTTTCATCTACAAGGGCAGAGAAATGACAATTTTTAATAATACTAACTGTATCATAGGTTTCAACTGGCGCAATTACATTTTTTACGATACTTGTACATTTTTTTCGATGCAGTTGAACCTTTTCTATGATTTTCGAGTCTGGAAATATTTGTTTCAGAACAGGAACCAGTAAATTAACCGTCTGAAATGCCATGTTATTGGTAGCAAAAAAACTAGACAATTTTATTTCAGCCGATTTTACATTTATAATTTCTTTCTTAGAATTTTGTTCATTAGTTTTTGTAAATGAAGTCATTGACATACCTCCACGCAATCCTTTAACATTGAATTTATGTTTTAGTCCTAAGCTATGTTTTGTTAACTCACTTTTACCGCACGTGAGTATTGAATTGCAAGCAATGCATTTAAATTTGGTTGGGTCATTGGTAACATTTCTCAACCAATGATTATACTCTTCCACTTGAAGCCATTCTTGACAGAATAATTTTGTTTGAACTCTTTTTTTTCAGCTTTAGTGAGCTCATTCCTTATCGCCCTTTTTTTTGGTGTTGATTGCTTAGGATTCATCTCAACATCAGAATCGATTCTCATCTCAACGTCAGAATGAATATCCATCTCATGTAGCACCTATATTTGAAAGATATAGAGCAATGAATAATATGTAAAAAAAGGAATTATTGTATATTATGTGAATATAAATATTATTTATTAATAATACATACTAGGAACAATTGTTAAAATGTTGAGCGTTCACCGTTTACGTCAATCACGTATTCGTTTATTCGTTATTGACTCTTGTGTTGTTGTATGTTTGATATTTGATAATACGTATTTAATACGATTATGTTGATAATTGATAGATAATATGGTTATCATTTTATTATTTTATAACCAGCGTCTATAAGGTTTTTGGTAAAGAGCATAGAATAATATTATAATCAATCAGCCAAGTTTATGATAATATCATGAAGACTTATCTGTGATCAATTCAATTTGATAAGGATAAGATCATAAAGTAATATCACCATAGAACAGTATATCACAGAATAGATTAAATTAAAAAAAAATTAAGAATTTAATCTATTCTGTGGTAATAATATAACAAATAAGACAAAACCAAATAAACGTCATCAATATAATATTTCCCTTTTTTATTTGATTCTATCGTAAATTTCCCTTCATTCCCTTTCGATTATTTTGACGCCAAATTTCCCTGCACCGTGGGAATTTCCCTTCCACATACCATCACAAGACAGACACTAAAAAAGTGTTTTTTACTTTATCGATAAAAAAAATCTACGACGATACAAGCATATGTAAATATCAAGATAACAAGAATAAATATAATAATAATTTTAACGCTGTGTCTAGATACCCGGGTGCCCGTGAGTGATAAGAGAAAATGGTAAGAGTGGTTATACGACGGTTACTCTTTGGTTACGACGGTTACCAACTTAAGTTGGTATTGCACAACAAGTCGGGGGATATTTTCGATTTGCGGAGCGGAGCGACGGCGCCGAGGAGTGTAGCGACGAGTGCCGCTAGCATGGCATCACTGTAAATGATTTACGATTGTTTTTCAAGTTTGCCACTCTGTGGGACCTTTTCCGGGTATTGAATATATACACGGATGGGTCCTTGTATGTAAAGCGTACACGGGCACCCGGGTACCTAGACACAGCGTAATTTTAATCATACCCTATAGTTGATATAGATATAGCTATATCAGAATGTCGGAGTTAATAATATTATATTAAACTTTTTAAAATAGAAAAATTCAAACAGATAGTAGGAATTCAATATTATAATAATATATTGATACGTCCGAAATGAATAATTGATAATAATATTATTATGTGTTGTTACTCATTATGTAGTTGTATTACTTGTATTGTCTATGTACAACTCATATTATTTTTCCTATACTTTCTTAAAGTAATAGTATCGAAAACATTGGTGTATTTACGCGGGAGGCAATATCTTCACAGATATAGTTAATAAAGAATAAGAGTATGGCCGAATTGCACTTGGGTTTAAAAAAGGTAATGATCGAACTGCACTCGGCTAAA